CGCTTGGCACTCACAGTCTCTTTCAGACGTCTGGCGGCCAGTGCAAGACTCCACCGCTTTCGCCGCAGGCCGCCGGCACATTCTACCAGTCAGCAGCTGCTTCGCCCGCTGGACCAGCATCGCAGAGTCGGCTATATCTGAGCACCACGGGTTATCACCTCCCCTTCGCTCGCGAGGAACAGGGGTGGACGTCGCAATTGTTCCAGTAAAGCAGGCGCTGCACATGCGGCAGCAACCGCCGCGCGACGGAGTAGCGGCCTGGCGGGCGAGAGCCCACACCATCGTGAAGCAAGCAGCGAGGCATCGTCGGCGGCGAAACGGTGCTCTACAACTACAATCTCTCAGCGCCGCGGCGCAGAGGCAGGCAGACCAGCCTATAGACGGCGCAGGGGCGACGTTCGCGGGAGGATCGACCTGTTCGTGGAGAGGAGTGCTGCGTGGGCTCAGGGGCATCTCGGAGATATCCATCGACGAGCTCGAGGTACTGGAGGAGGTCACCTTTCGCTCGGCGCGCCGAGCTCAGAACAAGGCAGCTCTGGGGTCGTTGCGCAGCTTCCAGGACTGGATCCCCGACCCAGGTGGTGCAGTTCATCGTTCGATCAAAGACCCCATGCCTGAACAGGACGAGCTCCACGTAGACGGGTGCAGCCTCGCTCACCCCGTGGACAACATAGACAAGAAGGTGCAGCGGTGGCACTCGTTGTGGCAGTCCAGCGGTGCCTCCTACGAGGACATCCTTCAGGCGTGCGAGCTCATCCGCCAGCACGCCCAGGTCGAGCAGGTGGAGCCGCTCACCGCCCAGGACCTCAGGCGGGCCCTCGCCAAGATGAAGGCGAGAGCAGGCATGGGCGTGGACAGGCTCTCGCCCACGGACATCGCCCGCCTGCCCGACGAGGGCCTCCGCGAGCTCTGCGACCTCTACCGCATGGTCGAGGAGGGCTCGACGTGGCCGTGGCAGGTCATGCGCGTGCTGGGTCGCCTGCTCGGCAAGAAGTCGGGCGGCGACAGGTGCATAGGGCTGCTGCCCATGTTCTGTCGCGCATGGTCGATGGCCAGGGAGGACCTCGTTCGCGACTGGGTCGCCTACCAGGACGACTACTGGGACGCGGCCATCGCTGGCAACAGCGCCCTGAGGGAGGCGTTCACCAGGGCGCTCGAGGACGAGGTGCAGTCGGCGCTGCGTCTGCCCCACGGGCAGGCCTTGCTGGATGTCGAGGCCTTCTACGACGGGATCGAGATGGCCTCGCTGGCCTCCTGCGCCCTCAAGAAGGGCTTCCCGCCCACGGTTTTGTTCTTAGAAATGCAGATGTTCTTAGCACCGCGGCTGCTGGCTCAGCTAGATGCGGTGTCCTGGCCGTTCCAGGCGTCCGGGTCCGTGATCCAGGGGTCGAGGAACGGCACCAGGTTCACCCAGTGCCTCACGGCGTTCGTGCGCAAGAAGCTTTCGGTCGCGCACCCGACGATGTCAGAGCGCATCTGGGTGGGCGGCCTGTCGGAGCGCGTCGCGGGGCCCAGGATGCACGCGCGGAGCGAGCTGACTAAGGCTGCGCTCAGCACCGTGCGCGAGCTTCAGAAGCTCAAGTTGAAGATCGCCTCCAAGAGCGCGATCACTTGTGCTCATCATGGAGACGCGGTGTACATCACCAAGCAGCTCAAGCTCAAGGGCGTGGAGGTGAAGGCTGTCACGCAGGCCCCGTACCTCGGCGTCGACGTCGGCAGCGGGCGCAGGCTGGCCAGAGACACTGCGCGGAAGCGAGTGGTCAAGGCAGGCAGCTCCCACGGCCGCCTGCGCCGATTCGCTCGCGCCGCGCGGCGCTGGGGGGCCACCGCCCAGATCCAGCGAGCTGGCCCGCAGGCGGCGGCGGCCTACGGGCACCAGATTCACGGGTGCTTCGGCAGCGTCATGCTCACGCACCGTCGGCGCCTCGGGGCAGCGGCAGGTTCCAGAAAGCGTGGGAGGTGTTTAACGACCCTCCTCTCTGCGCGGCTCCCTGGAGCCGATCCAGGGACAGCCCTCCCGAGGCTATGTTTGCAGCAGTGTTTTTTTTTTTTGTTGACATGGCTCGGACAGCCAGATTCGCCGTTCCATCGTCAAAGTTTGGCCTCAAGTGTACCAGACCTTCAGGGACATCCCCGAGGGGCAACGGAGCAGACACGTGAGGGGCCCGATGTCGTCGGTAATGCTCTACTTGATGCAGGCGGGATGGACAGCGGACTCAGCTACAGCGTGGCAAATGCCGAATGACATGACGGGGGACACTCACACATGGCATTTCCACGATGAGGCGTTCGTCGGCCTAGACCAGGCGCAGCCACTGCTGGATGAGTTCGAGGCCACCCTCAGTGCTCAACTGTGGAGGGAAGCAGCCCAGCAGTATTGCGGGGAAGGGCTCGAGTACGGCGCCGACCTTCAGAGCTACAGGCAGTACATCTCGGCGCTGCAACAAGCTCATCGTGGACGACAGCTATCCGAGCTCATGGTCACGGTCGCTACAGGAGGTTTCTGGACGCAGCAGAGGAAGTACGACGAGAAGCTCGCCGACAGCGATCTCTGCCTTCGTTGCCAGGAGGCTACAGATACTCCAGTGCACAGGTGCTGGACCTGCAGCAAAAATAGAGACTCGCCCGCGTTTGCCCTGTCAGACGAGCTGGCCCCAGAAGCTTTAGCTGAGCAGGATACGGTTCCAGTTTTTTGGATGAGAGGCATCATCCCTGCCGCCTGGACTGCCGTCTCCCCCCCTCCTACCTCCGAAGTCTTTCTTGGGAACTCGTTGATTGGAGGTTCCATCGGGCCTGGGTGTCTCGGGAGCGGGAGCGCAGATAGCCCTGTCATCCTTTTCGGAGACGCCTCGGGGGGAAAGGACACCCACGATCCCAGGCTCAGAAGAGTAGGATTGGCCGTAGCAGCTTTCCAGTCCTTTTCACCGTGCATTCTAGGGCCTCACGTGACAGGCCCCCTCCCAGGCCCCTCGCAGACGGTGCCGCGGGGGGAACTTTTGAGTTTCGAATGGTCTCTCAGGTTTTCAGAAGGCTGGTTTGTGTACGTCACCGATTGTGCCGAGGTGGCCCGAAGGTGGTACGACAGAGCGTACGAGGCACCAGCAGGGCCACAGGCAGACATTTGGCGTGCTATAGGTTGCTTGTTGCGTGCACAGTCGAGGCCTCCGCATGCCGTGTCAGTGTTGCAAGTTCCGTCTCACATCGAGGGCAGAGATGTCGTGGCCCAAAGATGGCCGTCCTGGCTCATCCAGGGCAATGCTTGCGTAGACGTCCTCGCGGGAAAGGCTGCCACCCAGGCCAAGGTCCCAGAGGCCGAGCGTTTCCGTGTTCTCGAGACTGAGCATAAAGCCCGCTTAGTACGTCGTCGGCTGCTCCGCATCGCTCTAGAGTCCATATGTGCCTCTCAGGAGCGGGAGGGGACCCCGAAGGCTTCTCGCGCTCGCCTCGCCCCCCCGCATCCGAAGGCTATAGCACGCTTCGCGTCTGCCCACACCCTGACCGAAAATGGCAGGTCGTGTTCAGTGTGCCGTAGTTCAGCGACCCTGGCCACCGAGAATGAATGGCTAAAAAGTGAGTGCTTCCCTTTGCTCCAAGTCAGTTCTAAATTAGCTCGCCCCCCCCCCTGTGCGGAATTTACACTTGGCTGGAGGTTGGACGCACCCCACCCACTCCATGCATTTTCACAAAGACCTTGGTTTGTGGTTTTGCGGCGCTTGCGGGTTTTCCAGTCAGGCCCAGCTCAAAGGGCTAGGGAATCCGTGCCGCCCACAGTTGATCACCAAGGCCAGGCGCGAGTACTTAGATCGTATCTCTCGCGACCTGTTCCCCAAAGCCTGAGCTAGCATGCTTTTATCACTACGTGATGGCGGAAATCCTGGAAATCCCTCCCTCCCTTCTCCTCCCCTGACTCCCCCCCCCCTCCTTCCCTCCCCTCCCCCTCCTCCTTCTCCACCATCATCCCCCCCTCCCTCCCCCCAGACCCCAGACGTCGTGATTGTTACGCTACTTCGACCCTCAGAGGTCCGGACCCCTTCCCGAGGACCGGTGTCTCGTCCTGAGTGGTTGCTTGGCGGCCCACAGGCCCAGGAAGGGCCCCTGGAAGCCGAAAATGGCGCAAAACCTCCCGTCGCGATTTGTGCACGGCGCCAGAGGGTCTCGGGCCTCCCCTCCCCTCCCCCCGCCGCGCCACGGCGCGCATCGCCGAGACCGCCCCGGGGCCCCCCTCGGGGATCCACTGACCCGGGCCAGTCCAGACCCGGGCCAGTCGTGCCTTGCAAGGTCCTGCAGGACCCTGCAGGATCCTGCAGGACCCTGCGCCCTCACCCGGGCCGGTGCGCTCCCGGCCCTGCAGGATCCTGCAGGTTCCGGCGCTCTGGCTGACCCCCGTTTGCAGTGACCCCCGCCTCCTGTTTGGACGCCCGAAATGGGCACGGAAAGAATGGGTACAATGCCCAACAGCAATTGTTGCCCCGAACTAACTGCGGCTGCTGTTGGGCAGGCGGACTTCTGCCTCGAATGGACACAGGCCGCGGCGGCGTGGACAGCGAGTCCTGTTCAAAATGAACAGGAACTGCTGTTGGGCATCGTACCCATCCTTTCCTCGTTCGTGCAGAAAGATCCTGCCCCCTAACCTGGGTCGGTGCGCTCCTGGCCCTGCAGGATCCTGCAAGTTCTGGCGCTCTGGCTGACCCCCGTTTGCACTGACCCCCGCCTCTTGAACCCCGACCCGCTCGGGGATCTTCTGACCCGGGTCAATCCAGACCCGGGTCAGCAGGAAACCAACAACTGCAATGCAGAAAAACAAACAAAAAAAAACTGCAACGCAGATCTTCGCAAACCCGGGTCAGACAATATGCGCGGCCGCCTCGCGGCCACGAGCGGCTCGCTATCCCGGGTCAGCCAGAGGGGGTCTTCGCAGGATCCTGCAGGATCTGGTGCCCTGGCTGACCCCCTTTTGCATTGACCCCCGTCTCTTGAGCCCCGACCCGCCCCCTCTCCGCCTCCGCTGGGCGCCGCGTCCGCGGTGGCGTTGTCCTGGGCGGCCCCCGCGCCCGCCCATATGGCCGGAAGAGAGGCGGGCCCTCTGCGGGCCCAGGCGGAGGAGGGAGGGGGGAAAAGAGAGGGAGGAGGGAGGAGGGAGCAGGAGGAGGAGGAGGAGGAGGAGGAGGAGGAGGAGGAGGAGGAGGAGGAGAGAGGATGAGGAGGAGGAGGAGGAGGAGGAGGAGGAGGAGAAGGAGGAGGGAGGAGGGGATGGGAAAGAGAGGGAGGAGGTGAGGAGGAGGAGGAGGAGGGAGGAGGAGGAGGAGGAGGGGGAGGAGGAGGGAGGAGGGAGGAGGAGGAGGAGGAGGAGGAGGAGCAGGGAAGAGGAGGAGGAGGAGGAGGAGGAGGAGGGAGAAGGAGGAGGAGGGAGAGGGAGGGAGGAGGAGGAGGAGGAGAGACAAGTGAGCGTTTTCTGATTCGCGTTTTGGCATTGGGCGAAAGAGGGGGGGGGAGGGGGGGGCGGTCTGGCTCTGGACCTCTGCTTAGTGCGACTGTTTTCAGCAGTGCGTCCTGTTGGGGGAGACTCCACTGGCCTGAAACAGGCGCCAAAAACAGGCAAGATCTACTCCATAGGGGGGGGAGGGGGGTGCGAGGGCCCGCGCCGATCGGCAAAACACTGAATAAAAAACGATCACCAAGACACACCCCTGCTTGCTTTTCTGTTCCGCGGCGAGCGAGTGGGGGAAGTGATAAGGAGAAGGCCTTCTCAGAAGGCGGCGGGACTTTTCAGAAGCCCTCGCGCCTTCTGAGAAGGCTTCTGCGTTTTCGGGGGAATGTTCAGAAAACTTCTCAGAAGGCCTGGGGGGTTCCAAGCCTTCTCAGAAGGCGCGCCCCTTCTCATTTCCCCCCCTGGCGCGCCGCCGCAAGTCATGCGAGCCTCCCAAACCATCTTGTTGGCTCTTGCGATTCGACGCGGATCGGCTAAGATCGACGCTAGTCGACGCAATCCGACGCTAAACGGGCGCTGCCCCGTCGATTACCCGACGCCAACCGACGAGAACGCACTCTCTAAAGGCGGCATGGCGAGGGTCCAGGCTCCCATGACTGGCCACCGAGCGCGCCCTGCACACGCAATCCTGCGCCGCACCCCCGCATCTGGTATGTCGGACAGCGTTGCTGCCGCCCGCGCGCCCAGTGAACACACGAGCGACGAAAAGAAGTGGGTCGTGCGCACGACGGCATGGCGACCTTGTGCGGTGGCGTACGCGGGTCAAGATGAGTCTAAGAACACATGAGCGACGAGAAGAAGCGTGTCGTACGCACCATGGCATGGCGACTTGGCGAGGTGGCCTAGGCGGGCCATGGGGAGGCCAAGGGACAGAAGGGGCGGGTCTTACGCATGATGGCACGGCGCACACGGACCAAAGGGGGGGCAAGGGACATACGAGACACCTGAAGAAGCGGGTCGTACGCACGATGGCATGGCGCTCTTGCGCGATGGCTTACGCGGGCCAAGGGGAGGCAAGAGATACGCGATGGCTTACGCGGGCCAAGGGGAGGCAAGGGACAAATGAGCGACGAGAGGAGGCGGGTCGCATACACAATGGCATGGCGACCTGGCGCGGTGGCTTACGCGGGCCTCTGGGAGGCAAAAGACAGAATCAGCGACAAGAAGCGGGACGCACGCACGATAGCATGGCGATCCTACGCGGTCGCTCACGCGGGCCAAGGGGACGCAATGGACACACGAGCGACGAGCAGAAGCGGGTCGCATACTTGATGGCATGGAGACCTTGCGCGGCGGCTTACGCGGGCCAAAAGGAGCCAAGGAACTCATGGGCGAAAAGAAGAAGTGGGTCCTACGCAGGATAACATGGCGACCTTGCGCTGTGGCTTAGGCCAGGGGGGGGCAACAAACAAACTGAGCCGCGAGAAGAAGCGGGTCGTACGCACGATGGCATGGCGACCCTGCGCGGTGGCTTTCGGGCGTTGGCAGAACTGGGTTTAGTTGGACCTGGTTTAGTAATGCGTACTGGGGGACGCACCCCCCGCCCCGTTCCACTAACCGAGTGCCGTCACCCGAAAAAACACCAGCTACGGCAAACCTGGTTTGGTGGTTCTGGCCATTTCAGAGGCTCCGGGACCCTACCACTAACTGGGTCCCCCTACCTGGGGTCCTGGCTATACCCGAGGCTTACGCGGGCCATGGGGAGACCAGGGGCACACGAGCGACGAGAAGACACGGGTCGCACGCACGATGGCGTAGGGAGCATTTGTCCACTCGCGGCTATAGAGGGCGGTCTGCGGAAGGGGGGGCGGAGGGGCATAAAACAACGCCCCCCCCCGCCGCGTGGCTCTGGCACCGCAGCGGGGGGGAGGCATAACGTGAGGCCCTCCACCGCCGTGTGGATGCAGCACCACAGCGCCTGTGCGCATCTCAGCAAGCACCTTCATGCGGAGCGCAGTATCGCCCATGTACTGCGGCGCAGCGCATACATGCACCACAATGCTTTCAATTCCTTCACAGCGTCCGTCGAGCAGTACCATATGATGGTGTTTGCTGCCACTGTGCTGCACCTCCTCTGCAGTGTAAAGGGTGCTATAATACTCTGCCTCTACCGCCTCCACGAGCCAAAGCGTGACACGAAAAGTGCATCAAATCTGCGCAGCACTGCATGTCCCGACGCATGCCGCACGCATGCACCACACTGCTTGCGTGCACCACGGCGCCTGCGTGCAGCACAGCAGCCGCGTTCACCGCAGCGCCTGCGCACACCGCAAATCGGGCGTTGGCAGAACTGGGTTTAGTGGAACCTGGTTTAATGATTTGTACCAGGGGCGCCCCCCCGTCCCATTTCCACTACCCGGAACTGCCGTCACCCGAAAAACACCAGTTACGGCAAACCTGGTTAAGTGAATCTGGCCAATTGAGGGGCCCCAGGGCCCTTCCACTAACCGAGTCCCCTTATTCGGGGTCCTAGCTATGCCCGAGCAACGCCTGAATAGCGCTTGCGTGTACACCACACAACCCCTGCGTCGATTGCACTTGCGCTGTAGAAGTGGGCTCTGGGAGGGGTCCGGACGCCCCTCGGCCCGAAGGAATAGGCGAGCAGCAGTGGTGCCTGCAGGCACGCACGACACGGGCGAGCAGTTGCGAGAGCACGACTGCACCTCTGCCGGCACCCCAGCAGCTTGCGAGCACCGCGACGACGAACACGACGACTGCGACAACGATCGCGACGATTACGACTACGACGACTACGACGACTACGACTGTCACGGCGACGGTCACGACGACTCCGACGACTACGACGCCTATCACTACGACTAAGAGCAATACCACGACCACGACGACGACGACGACGACGATTACGACAATGACACCAGCGATCACCACGATCACAAGACGACCACCACGACAATCACGACACCCCGTCGCCCTCCACCCTCCCTCCTCATCCTTTCTCTCATCCTCCTGATATCACTGTTACTGCTACGACTGTTGCCACTACCTCTGCCACCAGTACCACTACCACAACTCTCGCGGCCATGCCAACACCATAATACTGCGTGAACCCCGCGCGCGCGTGCGCAAAACTGCCGGACCCTGCATGTGCGACGATAGCCTGCGAGCGCAGCACCATGTCTGCGAGCTCAGGCAATGAGACTGTCACGTCACGCTAGCACTTGAACGCTAAAGTAGCCTGCAAGCACTAGAGTAGCCTGCGGACATCACAATGGCAGTACCGCAGGCGCACTACGGGGGGGTGGGGGGCGTTACGTTATGGGGGGGAGGGTGGGCATAACGCTCGTTATAGCCCAGAGGGTTAATCATCCTGGCGGAGTAACCAACAATACGCAGTTGTGAGTAACTCAAATGTGCTTGCCGTCTTCGGTGGAGCTCCCGATTGGCGTCACGAACCGTGTGAGCTGTGCGCCGAAATTAGCAGCGGGGGCGCATGCGGGCGGCGCCGCTGGGGCATTAGGTGGATCTCCCTATGGGGCCACGAAACGTGTGAGAGGTGCGCCGAAATAAGCGGCCCGCAGCAATGCGAGCGGCGCAAGTGGAGCCTTAAAGTCTCCCTATGGGGCCACGAAGCGCGTGAGGAGTGTCCCGAAATGAGCGGCGCGGACGCGTGCAGGCGGCGCCACTGGGCCCTTGGGTTTGGCTCCCTTTAGGGCCAAGAAGCGTGTGAGGGGTGTGCCGACATGAGTGGCGGGGACGCATGTGGACGGTGCCGTCCGCCTATGAGGCCACGAAACGTATAGGAGGTGTGCCGAAATGAGTGGCGCGGACGCATGTAGGCGGTGCCACTGGGGCCTTGGATGGAGCCCCCTATGGGGCCACGAAGCGTGTGATGGGTGTGCCGAAATGAGTGGCGGGGACGCATGTGGACGGTGCCCGTGGGGCCTTTTGTGGAGCTCCCTGTGGGGCCACTCAGCGTGTGAGGGGTGTGCCGACATGGGTGGTGCGGACGCATGTGGGCGGTGCCACTGGGGCCTTGGGTGGAGCTCGCACTTGGGCCAAACGTGTGAGGGGTGTGCAGACATAGGTGGCGCGGACGCTTTTTGACGTTGCTACTGGGGCCTTGGGTGCAGCTCCCTATGGAGCCACGAAGCGTGTGAGGGGTGTGCCGCAATGGGTGGCGCGGACGCATGTGGACGGTGCAGTTCGGGCGTTCAATTTAGCTCCATTTGGGGCCACGGAACATGTGAGGGGTGTGCCGAAATTGGGGGCGCGGTCGCATGTGGACGGTGCCGCTGGGGCCAGCTCCCTCTGGGGCCACGAAACGTGTGAGGGGTGTGCCGAGATGGGTTGCGCGGACGCATGTGGGCGGTGCCACTGGGGCCTTGGGTGGAGCTCCCTATGGGGCCACAAAGCGTGTGAGGGGTGCGCCGAAATGAGCGGCGCGGACGCATATGGACGGTGCCCGTGGGGGCTTGGGTAGAGCTCCCTTTGGGACCACGAAACATGTGAGGGGTGTCCCGAAGTGGCGCGGACGCATGTGGACGGTGCCATTCGGGCGTTCGGTGGAGCTCCCTGTGGGGCCACT